TGGAAGCATTCCCCCTAAGAGCTAGATTAAGACAATGATTATGTCTGCTCTCACCACTACTATTTAAGGTAGTCCTGGAGGTCCTAATCAGAGCAATCAGGCAGGAGAAAGAAATCAAGTATCCAAAAAGGAAAAGAGGAAGTTAAGTTATCCCTCTCTGTGGATGATATGATTCTATAACTAGAAAACCTCACACTGACAAATGACTTCAGTCAAGTCTCAGGACACAAAATCAATGCACAAAAGACAGTTGCATCTCTATACACCAACAACACGCAGAAGAGAACCAAATAAAAACACAATTCCATTCACAATAGCCACCAAAAAAATAAATAAATAACTCATCAACAAGGGTACCTGTATAACCAACGTTTGTATACCTAACCCTAAACTCTAGCCCACATCTTTATAATAATAAATAAATAAATAAAATGCCTTGGCATCCACTTAGCCAAAGAAATGAAAGACTTTTACAATGAGAACTACAAAACTCAAGGAAATTAAGGATGATACAAACAAATGAGAATATATCCCAGGCTCGTGGATTGGAAGAATCAATATTGTAAAGATGTCCATCCAACCAAAGGCAATCTACAGATTCAGTGTAATCGCTATCAAATTGCCAACATCATTTTTCAGACCGAGAAAAGACAATACGGAAATTAATATGAAGCAAAAAAGGACACAAATAACTAAAGCAATTCTTAGCAAAAGGAAAAAAGTGGGAGGCATCACAATTCCAGACTTTAAACTTCATTACAAGGCTATAGTAACCAAGATGGCATGACTATTAGTACAGGAGTAGGCACATAGACAAATAGGAACAGGACACAGAATCCAGAACTAAAAACGCTCAATCTACTCATCTTCGACAAGACCATCAATAACAAACATTGGGGAAAGGAAATCATATTTAGCAAATGGTGCTGGGAAAACTGGCTAGCCACATGCAGAAGAATGAAACTGGACCCCTACCTGTCTTATCACCATATACAAAAATTAACTTAAAATGGATCAAGGACTTAAATGTGAAAACTCAAACTATAAGAATCTTATAAGACAATGTAGAATGTGAAAACTCAAACTATAAGAATCTTATAAGACAATGTAGAGAACACTTTCCTGGACATCAGAGTAGGCAATGAATTAATAGGCAAGGCCTCAAAAGCAAATGCAAAAAAAGCTAAGATAAGGTGGGAACTTACCAAACTGAAAAGTTTTTCCACAGCAAGAAACCATCAAGAGAGTAAAGAAACAACCTATGGAATGGGAAAAAATATTTGCAAGCTAGCATCTGACAAAGGTCTAACATCCAGGATCTATAAGGAACTCAGAATTAAAAGAAAGAAAAAAAAACATTAAAAAGTGGGCACAGGACATGAACAGACACTTCTTAAAAGATGACATATTAGAAACACATGAAAAAATGCTCAGCCTCACTAATCATCAGAGAAATGCAATACAAGACTATACCGACATACCACCTAACACTGGTAAGAATAGCTATCACTAATAAGTCAAAAATCAACAAGTGCTGGCACAGCTGTGGAGAAAAGGGATCACTTCTACATTGTTGGTGGGAATGTAAGCTAGTTCAACCTGGCTGGAAAGCAGACTGGTGATTTCTCAAAGAACTAAAAATTGAGCTTCCATATGACCCAGCAATCCCATTCTTGGGAATATACCCAGAGGAACATAAAGTACCCTACCAAAAAGACATCTGCACATGCTATGTTTATTGCAGTGCTTTTTACAATAACAAAAACATGGAACCAACCCAGATGTCCATTGAAAGTAGACTGGATAAAGAAAATGTGGTACACATACATGATGGAATATTATGCAGTCATAAAGAAGAACAAAAGCATAGCCTTCGCAGCAACTTGGATGCAGCTGGAGTTCATCATACTGAGTGAACTATTACAGAAACAAAGAACTGAATATTGCATGTTCTCACTCATAAGTGGGCCCTGATCTCTGGTCACACTAGCACAAGGGTGGGATCAGCAGGTGCTGGACACTGCTGGAGGGTGGGG